GTGATACCACGTAAACACTCGCTGATAGTGTTTCCACTCAACTCTGATAGTGTTGCCAACACTAATAACTTAACAGGCAAAAAGATCTGAAATAATGTAGTTACCAAAATCTCAATAGAAAAATATCGGACAATACCAGGGTAAGAAACGTGAGGGATATGCGATGTCCAACATAACTATTATCGTGCTATCCTTGTTCATGGGTGTGGATGAGTTGCCCCCTTTGAATCCCCTATTGGTAGTTCTAGATAGATGTTTGTCTCTCAGATTTTTTAGTTTCTTTTAATATTGGTCGTGGTTGAATAAATGTTCAAGATGCAGTGCCAAGGTTCTAGAGCCACTGTTTTTGACAATTTATTGGAATATAAAATGAACTGCAACAGATGTGCCATTTTGTGGCAACTGCTTCCATTGTACAATATCTCGCTAAGTCTTCTCTTCGTCGCTCCAAATGAAGAGGGAATCTTATAGAAGAGTGATCAAGAAAATTTAATCTAATAGACATTAAATGATACGTTTAGACTCCGCGGAATACTATACATGGAGGATTTGTAAGAGAATATGTGGTTATTATTATACAGGAGCATTTTCTGCCCAGCTGCGACTGGACACCTGCAAAAGGGACTTTCCATCGACAGAAAATTTGAGTTTGAAGTGGTAGGTAAGCTTAAATATGTGGTGAAACATTTCTCGTGACGGACGATTTTTCATGGAGGACACGGAAGAAGAGTGAGAATAAGGACGAGACAGAGGATGAGGACGGGGAAACGGGATATGAATATAAAATGAACTGCAACAGATGTGCCATTTTGTGGCAACTACTTCCATTGTACAATATCTCGTTAAGTCATCTCTTCATCATTCCAAATGAAGGGGGAATCTTAGAGGAGAGTGTTCCAGAAAATTAATTCCAATTACATATTAAATGATAAAATTTGGTTCCGCGGAGCACTATAAAATGAAGAGCTTTTAAGCTACGTGCTGCCTCAAAATGTGTTTATTATTAAACAAGAGCAACTTTTGCCAATGTGTAACTGGAAATCTTGAATATGTATCATTGCCAGGCAATCTGAGTTTTAATCCGGTTGGTCAGATTTAGTATTTGCGGAGTAATTTTTCTGTGACGTCCTCTTTTTCGTGAAACTCCTCCCAGGCGGAGGACACAGAAAAGGAAAAGAAAAATGACAAGGCAGAGGATGAGGAAGAGGAAACGGCACACGAGGAAGGACGCAGCCAGAGTTCGAGCAAGTCATGGTCAACTGCTCCGAATGCAGCTAAAAGCAAGAAAATTCCGCGAGCCATTCGAACTGGAAGGGAAAACGCCCCCCGTCCTGGAATCAAGAAGGAAATTCCACAACGTCCTCGAATGAATAAGGAATTCCAACACATTCCAAGAATAGAGAAGCAGCGGGCTCGTTGCTTCCCGGAGACTACCCTGGCTGAAGAAATGAAGGGCTTGGCGAAACTGATTCAGTCTGGGGTCGACGGGAAACCGGCCATTTACGAGCTCTGGAAATCCGTCGTGGTGGAAAATAAGGAAATGGGAATAGCGAAATTTGACATCGGGCCACGGCTGCGGAAGCAGGATGAGAGGGTTCTCATGGTCGTGGGGAAGACCGGTGCAGGTATAGCCAAACTTCGAAAACCGGGAAAAACTCCCAAATTTACCAGATTTGATTCCTTCCATGTTTTCCTTGGGTATTCTTTTTTCCCATCGTAATATTGCAGACTTGTCACTCTTATTAAAAAAAACTGATAAACGGTCGTTGTTTCTGTAGTACTACTATATGGGTACACTATGGATAGAAAGAAATCCCAAAATAAGTCATGGGCGTAATGTTTACAGTTTAAAGCTGACTAAAGGGAATAATTCGCTTCAGCTAAAAAGACAAAAGCGATAATAACAATAAGTTCATAAAAACGTGTCCCCTTTCATGAGCTCGAAAGTGCTGGTTGTATTCAGATATTAGCTGTTTCAAAAAGGATAGTTCGGAAAGGTTACAGTAGGATTGGCTAGAGATCCTATATATTAATGAGTTCGAGTTACTCACGCTATTAACTGCTACTTACCGTTGAGGAGAAGTAAGAGCAAGGCAGTATGCAAGCCCAAGTGATGCGATCTGGAAAGAGATGATATTGTGAATGACCTGCCAAAAATAGAATAGTGAAGGAATCGAGACGGGAATATGGGGAGTATGAGTATAAAGGAGTTAGCTCTGCACAACAGAGGCTTAGAAAAAAAAATATGACTTCACCTCATGTTTTCCTTTATTTTGAACATATTGGGTGACATGCACCCCCTCGGTTTAAAAAGCTAAAGTCATCTGACTACAGGCAAATATGTTTAAGAAAGAGTTGAACTCATCGTCAAACTGACTTGTGACATGCACCAATACAATCAGTTTACTTCTACCTTAAACAAATATACATAGATAAATTCGTTCCATAGGAGGTTTAAATCCCTAAACGGATTCTCAGAGGTAGTTCATTGAGCTGTTTGGCCTGTGTGAGCCTCATTTTTCTTGCTTTTCATCATCTAGCGACGGTGGAAACGAAAACTCACATAGAGATAGAAGTCCTTTTGATAATCCTGAAGCATGCTAACAAGAGGTCTGTCAGAGTTCGGCTAAATTCTCATGAATGGTTCAGCGAAGACAAATTCCGATCAATGTTTCGTCCTTCCATGGACCCCGTCGTCAACTTGGTTCGGAGGATGGAGCAGCATGCGACACTTAATACTGATCATTCTCTTTCCAAATGCATCAACATAAAGGCAATATACGTTCATTAAATATGGGAATTAACGTGTTCATCGAAAATAACATGACTTTCGGTGGTGCATGCAAACGATGAATACATTCTTAAGCATGTTTTAAAAAACAAACATGTTTTCTCGTTTTCAAACTAAATCGATTACTCAATTGCTTCGTGTTACCCATTATGAAGTGAGAACTTGCAATAAATACTCGGAGTTCGAAAAGTAACTCACTAACTTAGTTTCAAAGTACTTACGTTTCAATGAGAAATGCATTTTTGGGTATAGAATTTAGCACCCTTTCGAATTACAATTCAGATGTACCTGTAGATCCGAAATATCTATGTTTCAGATGAGCTCCTTTCAGGCTGGATTTTTTTTTACACGTGGCATGCAATAATATCAGCAGATAATTTTTCAATTTCGTTAATGCTACTGGTATAGTGCTTTCTATCGATTGCTCGTTATAAATTAGAGAACTAATATTTCGAGAGACCTCATGACAGTAAATGAGTGGGTTTTTTGCGGTTTTCGCGGTTTTGTTTTCCTTCACTCCCTTTTCAAGCTTGACCCTCTCTTTCATTTCACATCCTATAGGAAAGACGACGATGATTAACAGTCTGGCGAATTACGTGTATGGCGTTCGATGGGAGGACGACTTCCGGTTCAAAGTCATCACCGAGAAGGGCGACGTGAATGCGAATGACAAGGCCAACAGCCAGACGAAAGGGGTGTCTGCGTATACCTTCAACTGGAAGGAGGGGATGACGATCCCGTACACGCTTACTGTCATCGACACTCCTGGCTTTGCAGACTCCGAGGGCCTCCACAAGGACGAGGAACTTGTTGTCAAGGTCAATCTCTAGTTGCAGCAATAAGATTAGTAGTTAAATAGGAGGGAAATTTCATATTTGCCTGATTGCGATAGCGGGAGCATCCATATCGTCAAATGCTGGGAAAACCTTTTCTTGCCTTCATTTCCTCCGATTTGCTCCCTTTCTATTTACGATTTTTTAGTATTTTAATTAATTAACTTCAACCGCTGACTCGTCAGAGATCCCTAAGAGGATCTTCCAGGCCTCAAATGGAGGGACTTAATTGACCACCAGAAGTTCAGTCGATTGACCGCGTGCTAGGTGGTTGGACTACGTCGCGAACCTTTTCCACGAGAAGCTCGGTATGACACCTGCTGAGATCGAGTCAGTAGCCTAGGATTGGAAGCGTTGAAAGATACTCCTCCGGCCAAATTTCGTTGGGATAGGCGGTTTCGAAAATGAATGGGTTTTTAACTTTGCATTTTCTTCATTCCAACTAGCGAGAAACTCGATTCCAATACGAATGCAAAGAGAGGGCAAGAAACTAGAATTCTGGGGATCTAACCTCCTCTGACATATACGCTTCAAGAAATCTTTCGCCGGAAATCCCTGTTCTAATCTCCAAGCGTATTTCAGAACTAAATTAATGATAATAAGAATAATAATACCGGGACGTTGTATCCATGGGCTCAAAGTTCCCCTGGACGGATTCTGCCTGCGACCCTATGCCTCAGGTTCCTTACATGGAGAGTCGCTCTTCCGGGCCCCACCAGCCTGTTATAGTGAAACATCTGGTTCCCAAAATAAAAGGAAATCCTGCCGCTAGCAATAGATATCAAACCCTTTCGAGGGGGACCCTCGAAAGGATTTGATAGTCGGTTGCGTTGGCTCGAATACGTCTCGCCATGGAAGGTTTCGATGGACCGTAGAGATCAGGAGAGACCTTCAAGCAACCCGAATTACAGTGGTTATATGGTGCACATGCACCAGGTATATTGCGAACTACACCCGACTATACATCTACCTTGGCGTGACAGAGTGACAATCCCATGAGGTAAGCACCACGAAATCGCCCTCAGAATGGAAAATGAGTGTCGCTTAAGGTGAGTCTGGATCTCATAGCACTCCGCTCGCAACAAGGTGACATCCACCAAGAACTGTGCCACCCCTGTCTTTTCGTCTCCACCTTTGTTGCACTTCATTGGACTCTCAATGAGCTGGAAAACTTTGATCGCACTACCAGGGAAACCATGAATCAGCACCGTATTCTGCACCTGAAATTCAGTGGTTCAGCCTCAATACCTTCCGCGGGATGAGGGTGAGAAAGGCCTGCAAGGAGAAAGGCATTTGCACTACCGTGTGACCATCGGAACTACTGTTCGACTACTTACAAATGCCAACGACCCGCTCCTAAGCCATATGATAAGAGCGCGTGGATAGATGATCATTTATGTTCAAAATTGCAGAACGAGCTGCAAGACCTATTGGGTTAGAGCTGGATACAGAACCACAACCAATTTTTGAAGACATTAATATCCAAGCCAACAACGAACGTGATACCACCATTCGTACGGTCAGGCGCCGCGTGTGTTTGTCAGAAACTAAACATCGCATGGCAAGTACTTCGAGGCGATACGTAACCATGAGCTGTCTCTGGAGTTGCCCCATGCATGGCTATGATGATTTGCCCCATGCTCAGACAAAGCGGTTTTTGGCAGCAGCCGAAGATGGCGTTTTACCCACACTGTAAAACCGAAATTCAACCATGAAGGAAGAACTGGGATCAATCACATTGCGGGCATGTTTGATCCAACCGGTGCTCCACCTGCTGTTGGCATGTCCCACAAAAACACACTAATGCTACATCCACCCCCATGACGCCGCTCCATGAGTGTTATATTATCAGCTTCGACATGCATACGATATTGACAGAACACCTGCTCTCCCGCATGCAGAAAAAGATATTGCCTTCGTCGTGGAGAATAAGGCCTGTCGCATCTCGTCGGATTACAGCTTTCCCACGACGACACAGCTGACGACCACGAAGCCGGATATCGCCCTGCTGGACAAGGAGGAAGTAGAACTCTACGTGATCGAGTTCTGCTCAGCGGAAAAAAAGATTCAGAGCGAAAAAAAAGGAAAAAGGGGCAAAATATTTAGATCTCATGTTCGAACTTCAACAAACATCCAGGTCATAAAGTCGCGTTCGTTGTCATTATCATCGGTTGCCTCGGAGGGAAGAAGAACAGAGTCTTGTCGGCCCTGAAAAGAATTCCAGTTTGTCGACCAGTAGCCGAATCTCTGGCCAAAAAGCATGCAAAACCAGGTTAACCTTAGTTCCCTTCGTGTTCTACGGGTTCACTTAACACGCCAAAGAACTCATGCTTCTCCCCCCCCCCACTCATGTTGTGGGGGTTAGGGCTTTTTCAACACCTGTCCGCATACCCCAAGGAATGACGAGAGGACGGAAAGACCTCACGGGAAGGTCGATCGCTGATGTAGAGAAGCAGACCGGCAGGATATGTATTTTAAGTACGCGGAACGCACTTAATAATAATAATAATAAACAAGTTTCATCCATATCCAGTTGTTACTTCGAAGATGATGCTGCAATTGCTCGATTTCAATGGAAAATTTGAAACACACTTCTATCATTTCACACCCGCCTTTCCCGCATTTTTCTCCAGAAATCCCTCCATCCCAGTGTAATGTAAATACTGTGTATTCACCGGTCAAAATTGTTTCCTTCCATAGATGCGGGAGTTCTTCGAGATATGTGAACCACGTGGATTGAAGAGTGTGAACGCCGTGGGATTCGTGCTTCCCGCTTCCAATGCGAGGCTGACGGCCGCAGAAAAGTACATATTTCACGCCATCACCCAACTCTTTGCTATTGACACGAAAGAGAAGTTCGTGGTGCTTGTCAGCTTCTGCGACGGGCAAGAACCAGCGGTTATCGCCGTCATTAAGAAAGCCAAGCTGCACTACCAAGACTATCACACCTTCAACAACTCCGCCATGTTCGCTTGTAGTAGAGATCCCAT